GAATAGAATTTTAATATAAATAATTTTGATCACGGTTGGTAACGCTTAGTTACGAACACCGTTGAAAATTATATGTGTAGTAAGAGTAAAGATTAAAAAGTTCAAATATAATAAAACTTAATCAATGGTAAGATGTTTAGAAGAAAACTAGTGGGCAATGAATATTACAATCACTGGTGAAACACGGTTTTAAAAAAACATAATGAATAAACTAATGAAAAATATTATTATAATATTTAGAGATAATTATACAAGTAGTGACGGTGTATTTTATATTACTTGTCACCACCTGAGTAGTGTTAAACGATCGCCCATTGATAATTTATTTTTTAATACCCTCCAATGAAAAAATGCGTATTCTAATATCCTATTTCATTTTCGAGTTCCCATTAAGACTGATATGTAACAAAATAATTTACCAACATTACAATAAATATAATAAAAAATAAAAAAATACATTAATTTATATTCTTTTGAATAAAAATTGTCAAACAGCGCTGTCCAGCGGACTTTCTTGCAACTGTCAAACAATGCTAAAGCTGTAGCGTAACGCTACAATTTACACCATTTAAAGCTATAATATTTGAGGTTTTACTATACGATTAAAAAAGGACGACGTTTCGACGATTTGTCTTGCATAACTTATATAAACAGGATAAAATAAAAGTTTTTGTGGTATTATTTAAGATAAGTACTTTACTTTCAACATATTCTTTCTGAAAATCTTTTCATATACCAAAATATTAAAAGGGGTAAATCTTGATATCAAATTATTTTATTTTAAACGTTATAATGTTTAAAAAACATTTCTTTTCATCAAACTTACATTAAATTAAATCTATTTCAAGATAAAATAAGAAAAATTAAACGAAATCTCAATATATGGTATTTTTTAGACATTAAAGAAATAATCATACAATTTTATTAAAATTAGCCAATTTTTTAATATTTTTCGTTGATACAAAATGCTTACATCATTCTTAATTATTTCAAACTGAAGCTCGTAAAATGAAATGTATAATAACAAAAAAAGTAAAAATATTCTAGTGATTTATTCTCTTCTTCTTCTTCAAGGCTTTAACAGGCCATTTAGGCCCATTGATTCAACAACCACTTGCCTCCATCGGTCCCTGTTTCTCGCCAATTATTATATCTAGTTAAAGACGTTGCCCTCAAAAATTGAAAAAAATTGCCTAGTTCCTCGTAAATGGGAGAAATCTCCAAAAAAAATTANNNTTTAAAAATCAGTAAATTTTGACATTTTTTCAATTTTTTTTTAAACTACCATAACTTTTTGAAAAATCAATGAAAGAAAATAAATTTTTTATGTATTGAAACCTTAGGTATTTCTATTTTATTTGATATAATATTTTTCAAAATTTGACCCTATACTTGCCCATAGAGGGGAATTCAAATTAAAAACTTTTTCAACTTAACTTTTAAAATTTTCAGGAAATACTGCGCCCTTGAAAAATATGTCAAATCATAGCTTATGTTACTCACTATAAATTAAAAAAAAAAATTTTCCCGACATTACCTGAACAAATTTATTAAATATTTATTCATATATTATACTTATATATCATAAAACTTATAATCAGAATATAAATAAGGAAATAGGAGTTCATTTGTGTTTTGAGTAATCCATAAATTTCTTAAAATTAAACACTATCAACAGATTTGCATCAAAGCGATTTTTATATCGCTGTATTGTTTTTATGATAGTGATTTTAATCACTGTCAGATATCATATGTACTTGTCCCAACTCTTACGAACCCGTATTGTTATGGTATTAGTGTTGTGTGGTTAGTGAGTAATAAGTAGTAGACAACGAATAGTTTCAATTAAGCATTAATTAATCGTGTTCGAACCGTTGTTCAAATAATATTGTATTATAACTTGTAAGTGATCACATTAAGACGATTAACGTTATACTTTATAAATAAATGTATTTTATAAAATTAAATATACTATTGTATTTTTTATTCAATTTAAGTGTATTTTTATTTCACATTACAAACGTCCACTCCAACACGTTTCCGTGTCTTACTCTAGGTCGGACACAACACCAACTATGCCATGACACCACTGTGCTACCATTTTAGCTTCGATGCGAAGGTATTGGTTTTACTATGATGTGTTTTT